TTTGAAGCAATGGATGCTATGGGCGCAGGAGCAGGGTTCATTAGTTGGACTAAAATTCTGTTATCCGATACAGCGTCGAAAGCGGTAGTAAATGGTTTTTTTTCCCGTGAAGTTGCTCTTACAGCGGGTGTGCGACAGGGATGTCCGTTGGCACCGTTGCTATACTTGTTTGTCGCGCAGGCGTTACTGTGTTGGTTACAGTACAACCGAGTGGGGATTCATTTACCCCAAAATAATTCAGAAATGGTTACAGGTGTGCAATTTGCTGATGACACGGAAGTTGTTTTAGAAGGCATCCAAGCAATTCCGGCTTTCCTTGAATGTATGAGGGTGTACGCACAGGCTTCTGGACAGCAACTTACGTCAGTAAAATTGGAAGTCACCTATAGGCCGGGCCATCGCCTAATAGGTAGGACCGCGGAATATGTGGAGTATAGGTGATTTCGCATATATGATCGTATACATCACACCTATAGGCGATCTGTTGTATACAGCATGGTCTATAGGCCTGTAGGCTATAGGTTACCATGTGTACGCATGCAAAACTGTGAGAGCCTAATAGTCCGTTGTATAAAGGTATGCCTTTATGTAGGCCACTCGTGTATACAGTGTTCGGGGGAAAGCTGCACTAGCTGCTGCGTGCGAAACACCTTTGACCTCCCTCAAAATGCTGCAAACTATGAGGTCTGTGCATATGAACCGTTTTGTATTCACCCGTCATGCCGAGGCACATGCATCGATGGAGTCCATGCAACGCCGTCAGGCACCCCTCGTCATTAAGACCTGCTAGGAAGACCTCCTATTCGCGCCAGTTGCACCGCAAACGCCTACGAAATTCCACAAGTGTTAAACTGTTAATAATTCTCGTATTCTTAGGTATCACGCGTGTGTATGCTTTGAAAATACAAAAGTTTTGCGACCGAAACTAGTTTCTGGCTTGCCGGGGTGGCAAGGTCTAAACCTCTTTTCCAAAAGCACTGAAATGAGTTCTGCAAGGTTATAATCTTTTCGGGTCTTTTGCTTGATAAATGCAATCTGATACGGCGGTGACAGGAGGTGGCATCTACGTCGACTTGAAGGCAACCCTAAGACCAATGGGATGAACTATCAGATTTAAATTATGTTTCTTGGCTGCGCTAAGTATTTTCCTAGGCGAGAAGTTCATGGTCTGCTGCCGACCCAACCTCCGGTACGACAATGCTAGGCAAACGTAGCAGATGTTCATAAATGACTTTTATGTTTATGTCAATATTATTGCTATAGAGGTTCTGGACCGGACGGGTGTAAGATGTGCGTTGGTCGACGCGTTGGCCTTACGAAGAAGGAGAAAAACGCGAAGAGAACACGTGAATTCATATGCATAAGTCATGGACGGCGACGCTTTACGCTCTGAATGGAGATTCCTGCTTTTGTGTTCGGTTCTGGACCTCACATGTTGTCGTACCGGAAAATTTCCTTCCTGTACGGCGGTCACAGGAGGTATCTACGTCGACTTGTATGCAAAACAATTACACATAGGGATCATATGGCGGTTGCATTGCATGTTTCTTGGCCGCAGCCAGCAGCAAACTCAAATGGAGTGCCGCATGGACGACAAGCCAGGCTAACGCAGCTGATGTTCATGAGTGCCCTTTAGATTCTAAGTATAAAAGCTGGAACAACGCCTATTTTACATTCTGCGTTAAGTACTACCGGTAAGGCGCAACCAATTTTCACATGAGATCCCGGGATCGAGCCACGGTAATAAAGTGTGCAATTTCCAAGTAATAGTCACTACAAGGATAACAATCCAATAAGAGAGGTAGTGAGGTCACGCGATCGATTAAAGCGATGACTTGGGTATCTAAAGGATGACTCGTAAGAAAAGCCTATTATGCGATGCCTGTACAGGTCCTATTATAGGAAATCATGTATACTTGCGTCTATATAGGCAATGTCGTTTACAACATCAAGTGTATACATACCTGTATACCGCATAGCCTAAACATCCCTTGCTACAGGTTATGATGTAAAAATGTACTTATAATACTATGCCATACATGATCGTATATTAGGCCATCACTTACACATGCGCCTCTTATGCCTAAGCCTTTAAGTCTCGTATAATATGTGTACACCTTACTGGCCTATATACCTTTCACCTATTTTCCCGAATATCTCGCCTATACAATGCCCGAAAAAATACAGACGTAACCTGGATAAGGTTGAGCTGTTACCTCTCGGCACCCACCCACATCATATAACAATAAATCATGACATGAAGGTCGTACATATGGCTACGGCTCTCAATCTACCTTTTACGGATGTGGGAGAAACCACAGGCAGGGACTGGGATGTGCAACTAGACAAAGTCTGGGCTCGGTTTCGACGCATTTCGGTGTTAAATCTTTCCATTTTTGGGCGTGCACATGCAGCGGCTGCATATGGGCTGCATCGTTTTACGTGGCATATGGAACACGGGGGGTTTCCCCCAGAAGCTCAACTCATGAATATTGAGGCTAAAGCGGCCAAACTTATTGATAGGAACCTCGGACCGGTCGCACA